ATCCATGGGGTGGACCTGGCGTCATGATATGGGCAGAAGTTGGCCTTAATGCGAGACTTGGACCCATGAGCTTTCTTAATGTTGGTCAAGGTCGGGGACACGACGTCACTGCTCAGCGGTATATCGACCAAGTGATCAAACCCCACGTTGTTCCATTTTTTGCATAACATCAACAACACATTTTCCAGCAGGACAACGCTCGTCCCCATGTTGCCAGAGCTACCATGGCCTTTCTGCAACAACACAACATCCGTGTTCTACCGTGGCCAGCCCTCAGCCCTGATCTGAACCCCATCGAACACTTATGGGAAGAGATTCAAAGGCGGCTGCACAATGTGCGCCCAGTCCCTACAACTGCCGATGAACTACGCACAGCTGCTCTGGATGTGTGCAGGAGGATCCTTAGGGCCTTCAAAAATCGTCTGATCCACTCAATGTACAAGAGATGTGTGGCAGTGATCAATGTTAATGGGGGTCAAACCAGGTATTTACTGACATTTTTGGTATTGACCCGAAACTGTAAGCCCTTAACATTTGAAAAAAACAATTATGTCATCTGCCTTTTAATCCATTCAACTGTCTTCAGTCAATTTTTTGTCAATCTTGCCCTATTAGTATTTCTTGTCTTTACTGTTGAAAATAAATAACATGTATACTGGATACTCGACTTGCGTTTCTTTTATATGAATACATATGGGGTTAGAGGGCAACTTTCAAGATTCTTGTGATAGCCGCGCCCACACTGGTGGCACTGATGTTACCGAGAGTGTAACAAAGGTGTCACGCGCTGGGAAGGAGCTTGGCGCGGCATCTGATGAAGCCAATGAACCAATCTCATTAAAATCAGATCTTAGTTCTCGCTACCGCTAAAGAAAGATCTGAGGACATCCCATTACAGGTCACGTCAGATCGACCTTGCGCGAACTTTGACCGACCGATAGAAGGACTGACAAGAAGTCGACATTAGCCAATCAGAAGGCAGCTTTCTCGTGCTTTACGGCACTAATTCCAAATTGGCGACTACGCTTCGAAACATATTTTGACAAATTCTCGATTTCAAATTTGAAACCTGAACAAAAGAACATTCTGGAATGGCTAATATATGGTCTACATTGTATGGATTCAGACGTTAAACCCGTAACTATCGTTCGGAATTTCCCGTGTTAAAGTTTTCGTGGTTGCATTATCAGAATTCACATTCCGAATGTCACTTTCATGATCTGTTAAGCGACGCTCTGATTGGTCGGATGAAAGGTCGTTCTGATGTGACCCCTCATGGGATGTCCTCAGATCTTTGTTTGGCGGTAGCGAGAACTAAGATATGATTTTAATGAGATTGGCAATGAACGGGCCTCTGTGCAACATGACCTCCCATCCAGGTGACGGCATCAAACGTCTAATACCGAAGTGAGTGAGTTGGATTTAACGCTGCTTTGCATAGTATTCCAGTTAAATCAGCCTAATGTGCTGGCGCCCAAGGGACGCAACTCTGCACGGCAAATTGCGGCACCTAAGACGACTGTACCAACCGTAACCCCCATAACATTAGAATACGAAACCCATAACATACGTATAAATTCATGATTTACACCTTTAAACTTAACACTTTAAGATATATGTGTATGCAAATCTGATGTCAGTTCTAAGACAAACCATCCTTTAGTAATGACGGCACAAAAACACATCCACAAGGGATACTTTCTAACTTATTAAGCATATAACTCTTAAGTATTGCAAATGTCTGAGTACTGTATTACTTTATGAGGACGCAACTCTGCACAGCGAATTGCGGTGCCTTAGACGACTAGGACACCCATGCCTCCTATTATTTTGTGTGTTAATGATGACAGGTGGAGAAATGCTATGTTGGTAATTGGGAGCCACGGTCGTTGGACCCTCACTCCTTGACTTAGCTGAACCCCACGGCCCTGCGAGTGGCAACGTCAGTGTCGGTTGGACCACGAGGACCCAGTGTCTTATCGTTGAAGTGGTTTAATCAACCATTTCAACGATTAGACACTGGGGTCCGAGTGGTCTAACATACTTAGACCATGTCCAACATTTATGGCACCTAAAATGCTTAAAAAATATTATTTTGTTAAAGGTATTTTAAAAGATATTCAGGAGCTCTATGCTCAACTGTGAGAACACTGTGTTAGTCGGCCCTGCGTGAAGCACGTGAAATGTGTTCCCCGAGTCTTTCGCACGTGCACCTCGCACTTTGCCGATTTGGGTTATGAAATGCATTTCCTGTGTTAATCGGCCCTGCGTGAAGCACGTGAAATGTGTTCCCCGAGTCTTTCGCACGTGCACCTCGCACTTTGCCGATTGGGGTTATGAAATGCATGCACTGTGTTAGTCGGCCCTGCGTGAAGCACGTGAAATGTGTTCCCCGAGTCTTTCGCACGTGCACCTCGCACTTTGCCGATTTGGGTTATGAAATGCATGCACTGTGTTAGTCGGCCCTGCGTGAAGCACGAGAAATGTGTTCCCCGAGTCTTTCGCACGTGCACCTCGCACTTTGCCGATTTGGGTTATGAAATGCATGTCCCGGGTCAAGTATACCATTTATTTTGGACCAACTCGAGCACATTTATCAATCAACTAAATATCACTTGCCCATGTCGATGTGCCTATTATGAAAAAATATAGCCCGGATAAAGATAATAGTAATTTCTTTACTATCTTTATGAAAAGCTACAAATTCACAAGTACTGTACAAATACTAGAATGCATAGAGTGACATACTGTATAAAAATTGCATAAAGCACATTTCGCAGTTCATAAAGGGATTAGCAATTGGCACTGATGTAAATAAATTTTTAGTTGTTAATTTCACACCCTTTCTCCCATGTCGCCGTGGCAAAAGACTACATTCGTTAGCCTTCAGTGCGGTCTTCGCGGGTTGAATCCCGCTAGCGACAAATGCTTTTCATGAAATTGTTCTATCATCAAGAAGTTCCGTCATTGCCAAGTGGTGTTTAACTAACAATTCAGTTAGTAAGATCACGGTCAAAGACAAAGGAGCCATGGTATAATGTCTTTTAACCATGGCGACAGGCCAGGGAACGCTGAACTGCTGAAGGATCCCTTGGCACGCCAAAACACGTTTGGCCTGGGTGGAGATGGTTCCTTAAACCCGACACTTGGACGACGCCACGTCCACCCCTACAATCGGTCCACTTAAAACAATCCATGATCTGGGCCCGTGCTCTTTGGAATCCCAGAAAACCGAAGCCAGTACCTTGCAAAGCTGATGGAAGAGGATTGCCGTCTTCGGGGGCGGCGACGAAGGAGGCTCCGAAGTTAGATGTTTCCACTGCTTCGACTGTGTATTCAGTCCATCTCAAAATACACAACTACTTGGACAGGACCAGACAGGACAGGCTCGTCATAGAGTTGGTAACTGGAACGACTGAGGTTCGACTCGACCTGCTGACACTAAAACCCGCAATGACCTCCTAATGCCTAACTACGAGGTGTTCGAGTCTGACCCACTTTGTGCTGAAACATCGTTTTGATTCGTTAAAAATCATATCAGAACATAGACTCAAGTTTGTGTCGTGATCGGAGAAAATACTGACCCGTTATTAAACGTTCATTGATTCCCTTCTTAATTCCATGAGGTCCGATACTTTCTGTCTCCCTGGCTTCTCGCAAATTAAACAAACACATTATTGAAGCTATCGCGACGGTCGCCACAATTTTGAATGTGGAATTTGTTATAATTTTTGGTTTGGGGGTTGAATTTGTACCTTATAACACACGGTCGCCGTCTCCCCAACGACTCGGTCGACGATGAAGAATCGCCGTCCGACTTCCTGCCTCTGTTTAAGTGAGTGAGTGAGTTTGATTTGACGCCGCTTTTAGCAATATTCCCGCAATATCACGGCGTTAGTGAGTTAGTGTGTGAGTCTGATTTTACGCCGGTTTAAGCAATAATCCAGCAATATCACGGCGGGGGACACAAGAAATGGGCTTCACACATCGTAGCCATGTCGGGAATCGAATTCGGGTCTTCGGCGTGACGAGCAAACGCTTTAACCACAGAGCGGGTTTCTGCACCGGGAACATTGGGCACTCGCTCCTGGTGTGTGTTCTGTCACGTGACTGCTATCACCATGTATCCTTTCTCATCAACAATAAACATCGCGGCTGTCGTCTTAAACTTCACCACTGAGTTTTGTCCGAGGCAAAACGTATGCAATATCACGATTCATGTTTTTGCCTCACTAATTCGTTTTATTTATATCCAAAATTCGAATTGGTGCTCTCAATATAAACATTTTTGATATACCAAAATATGGAATATGATAGCACAGCATTGACATCTTTCAATAACACTTTTGTTATGATTTGCCGAAACCGTCAAGGTCGGGGTTAGAATTGGTCTACAGCGTGCCCTAAGAGGCGACTATGCTTGTCGTAAGAGGTGATTAACTGGATCAGGTGGTCAGGCTCGCTGAGTTGGTTTGATGCATGTCATCGTATCCCAATTGCGTAGATCGATGCTCATGGTGTCAATCACTGGACTGACTGGGATAAACTCGATTATGTCCAGACCGTCGTCACGTAGCTGGAATATTGCAGCGTGTGGCGTTAAAGAACCGGCAAACAAACAAATGTGATCATACCAACATCCTCAGCTTAAACATATAAAAATCTCGCGACAATAGAACTGCAGTTACGACAGAATATATTTCCAAAATCTTAACGTATTCACGCACATTGATAATGTTACTGGCATTATGTTTCCAACGGGAGTGTTAGAAGCAGACTCATATTCATAACAGTTGTCCCAGAGGAAGTGACATTTGTAAGGCATTCCCGAACACATGAGGATGTCCATACAATGCGCGTAATATAATATCAACAGAAACTATTCTGATGTTTCCTAATTTTAGCGAAATGGGCATTATATAAAATGCATAATCCTTAACTATTTGACATTTCTAAACCGAATCAATTTGGATGGTCAGGTGACGTTTGTCCGAAACCAGTATTGTCATAATGTGGACTGATGTTGTTCAGTTCGGTTCGGAATCATCATGGCGCTCTCGAACATGGAAAACAACGGTGAGTGAAACGCTCTCTGAACCATTGCCTTCAAATCTCGTGCAACTCTCGAACATGGAAAACAAAGGTGAGTGAAACGTTCTCTGAACCATTGCTTCACAACACTCGAAACTTTGACAGTTGAAATTGATGAATTTCTTTAAGGTAAATTGCTGCAAAGCACCATTACGTTGATTTAATACTTATCCTTTCTGAGGATATTGACCATGAGGTCCTCGGCACAGAAGTAACTTGGATCATGAATATAGAAAGTATCAATTGACAACTGCAGATATGTCGCGGGATGTAAGCAGCGAGATTCCCAATGGCGTGACCACCGTTTTCGCTGCTGCCTCTAAGTGGAATGACTCACAATTAAATCCAACCATGGACGGTAAACGGTCGGTAAGTACATATATTTTCTTCACAACTGTGATTGGCATCTATCTCTACACTCTCATTCCGGGGTTGTGACAGGCATGCGTGCTGTATATTTTATGTTCTGGGGATTAAGTATGGAGACTGGGCATCGTTTTATCTTTTCTTTAAAACAATCAGTCTAAATATGTTTCCAAACAACTTCTTGCAACAATGTATTTCTTGTGCTAGACAAAAGATTTGTCAACACTTTTTTACGATAAAATCTCTAAAATCAACAAATCCAAAATGTTTTTGTCAAGAATTTGAAATGAAACACCAAGGCTCATGGCTATATTTCTACATATATAGTGAAACCTTGTTACTCCAGAAACCCTTCATTCCGAACGATCTTGTTGGACTGACTGACTGAGTATGGTTTTACGCCGCTTTTTAGCAATATTCCAGCAATATCACGGCGGGGGACACCAGAAATGGGCTTCACACATTGTATCCATGTAGGGAATCGAACCCGGGTTTTCGGCGTGATGAGCGAACGCTTTAACCACTAGGCTACCCTTGTTGGAAACGCCCATATGTTTCTAAAGGCAAATAACTCCTTACCCATCGTTCGTTAATCCAGACGGTGTCTCTGGGAATGAAGACGTCCGGTTTAACGAGGTGTCATTACATTTCGTTTACTCATAGTCAAACGGTTTTGTATGGAATCCTGGAAGGGACATTGTCGAGTTGTCGCCCTTACAAAAACAAGTAAAAAGTGTCAAAAGTAATCAAACAGCCAACGCTACATTTTGGCTATTTGTCGCATTGTCACGCTGTGAATAATATTATTTTTATTTTACCAAATGGCTACAACGCGACACTGTCCCTTCTAGGATGACATGCTTTTGTAAATAATATATATTAGCAATAATCTCTACCTGTATCCACATGTTGCTGATATTAAACGTTATTCTTCTGCAGCTGGAGACTGTGGAAAGCGCTTTCTCCAACGCATGTGCTTCAGGCGACATAGCAACAGTTCGTGCCATTCTGTCGGACTTACGATTCTCAGTGGACTATAGTGATTCGCTGGGGAGAACCCCTCTTCGGCTTGCTGTTCGGAATGAACACCTGGAGGTCAGAGTGATTCATTACTTGTCCTTCCAAAATGAGCATTTCGAGGTGTTTAAAATTTCTGCCAGCTTACATGCGGAGACTGAAAATATTTGTGCTACTTTCTGTCGCGGGAAATTCATATCTCATCAACAAATAGAACTGTCTATAGATATGCTGAATTATTGATTTTGAAATTAATAACTGATTCTGGTGACATGGCTTTGCAAATTGGTCATCACGGGCCAAACAATATGTCAAAGATGAAGTCACACCTCGAATTCTCTGAATTTATGAACCTATTACGCTCTTGACATTACCCGGCATGTCCCCATACATTGTGTACAGAAGTCAAAAGCTGAATCAGAATTTGAAATATGGCATTTGAATTGAAATACCTAAAACATGCCCAGCCTTGCTTGACAAAGGTATAATGATCTATACAGAAACGTCGCCTTTACAGTAAATAAAGTAGTTGTTATCCACATATTGTCTCTACTTTCTCATCCGTCAACTTCTAAGTAAAACCTATCAAACAATTCATCTTTACAGTTACTGCTTTTTAATAAATAAACAATATTTGTCATGGTTGATTTCAATCACTTTTACTATTCCCACAATTGTGTTTTACAACTGTTACTTCTACTACTTCTACTTTTGCCATATCCATGCCGATGGCTTTCACCATACACCGGCAACACTCAGGCCTCCCCAGTCCTTCACTCTACATTAGCTCCACTATCCACTGGCAATACACACGTCTTCCCTTCCCTTCACTGACGCCTATGTTGTTGTATCAGTTCCACTACACACTGGCAATACAGACGTCTTCCCTTACCCTCACTGATGCCTATGTTGGTGTATCAGTTCCACTATCCACTGTCATTACACACGTCTTCCCGTCCCCTCATTGATGCCTATGTTGGTGTATCAGTTCCACCATACACTGGCAAATACGCACGTCTTCCTTTCCCTCCACTGATGCCTATGTTGGCGTATCAGTTCAACTATACACTGGCAATACACACGTCTTCCCTTCCCTTCACTGATGTCTATGTTGGTGTATCAGTTCAACTATACACCGGCAATACACACTTTTCCCCTTCCCTTCACTGATGTCTATGTTGGTGTATCAGTTCAACTATACACCGGCAATACACACTTTTCCCCTTCCCTTCACTGATGCCTATGTTGGTGTATCAGTTCCACTATCCACTGGCAATACACACGTCTTCCCTTCCCCTCATTGATGCCTATGTTGGTGTATCAGTGCCACCATACACTGGCAACAAACACGTCTTCCCTTCTCTTCACTGATGCCTATGTTGGTGTATCAGTTCAACTATACACTGTCAATACACACTTTTCCCCTTCCCTTCACTGATGTCTATGTTGGTGTATCAGTTCAACTATACACCGGCAATACACACTTTTCCCCTTCCCTTCACTGATGCCTATGTTGGTGTATCAGTTCCACTATCCACTGGCAATACACACGTCTTCCCTTCCCCTCATTGATGCCTATGTTGGTGTATCAGTGCCACCATACACTGGCAACAAACACGTCTTCCCTTCCCTTCACTGATGCCTATGTTGGTGTATCAGTTCAACTATACACTGTCAATACACACTTTTCCCCTTCCCTTCACTGATGTCTATGTTGGTGTATCAGTTCAACTATACACCGGCAATACACACTTTTCCCCTTCCCTTCACTGATGCCTATGTTGGTGTATCAGTTCAACTATACACCGGCAATACACACTTTTCCCCTTCCCTTCACTGATGCCTATGTTGGTGTATCAGTTCCACTATCCACTGGCAATACACACGTCTTCCCTTCCCCTCATTGATGCCTATGTTGGTGTATCAGTGCCACCATACACTGGCAACAAACACGTCTTCCCTTCCCTTCACTGATGCCTATGTTGGTGTATCAGTTCCACTATACACTGTCATTACACACGTCTTCCCTTCACATCACTGATGCCTATGTTGGTGTATCAGTTCCACTATCCACTGGCAATACACACGTCTTCCCTTCCCTTCACTGATGCCTATGTTGTTGTATCAGTTCCACTATACACCCTCAATACAGACGTCTTCCCTTCACTTCACTGATGCCTATGTTGGTGTATCAGTTCCACTATCCACTGGCAATACACACGTCTTCCATTCCCTTCACTGATGCCTATGTTGGTGTATCAGTTCCACTATACACCTTAATACACTGGTCTTCCCTTCCCTCGTCCCTTGGGCACGCCAGAAACCTATGATTGTGGGTTCGAATCTCGGTTCGCCCCGATTATGTTTCTAGGTTTGTCAGCACCATACCCGTGCTCGTGGGTTTCACCGAAGTGGAAAACGTCCGAGACCTGCATCACTTCGGGCTTTCATCCCACATTAAGCTGACACGCCGCGATATAACTGGAATACTGTTAAAAGCGCCGTTAAACCCAACTCACTCACTCAATCACTCTTCCCTTCCCTTCACTGATGCCTATGTTGGTGTATGAGTTCCACTATACACTGTCAATACACACTTTTCCCCTTCCCTTCACTGATAACTATGTTGGTATATCAGTTCCACTATACACCCTCAATACACACGTCTTCCCTTCCCTTCACTGATGCCTATGTTGGTGTATCAGTTCAACTATACACTGTCATTACACACGTCTTCCCTTCACATCACTGATGCCTATGTTGGTGAATCAGTTCCACTATCCACTGGCAATACACACGTCTTCCCTTCCCTTCACTGATGCCTATGTTGTCGTATCAGTTCCACTATCCACTGGTAATTCAGACGTCTTCCCTTCCCTTCACTGATGCCTATGTTTGTGTATCAGTTCCACTATCCACTGGTAATTCAGACGTCTTCCCTTCACATCACTGATGCCTATGTTGGTGTATCAGTTCCACTATCCACTGGCAATACACACGTCTTCCCGTCCCCTCATTGATGCCTATGTTGGTGTATCAGTTCCACCATACACTGTCATTACACACGTCTTCCCGCCCCCTCATTGATGCCTATGTTTGTGTATCAGTTCCACCATACACTGTCATTACACACGTCTTCCCTTCCCTTCACTGATGCCTATGTTTGTGTATCAGTTCCACTATCCACTGGTAATTCAGACGTCTTCCCTTCACATCACTGATGCCTATGTTGGTGTATCAGTTCCACTATCCACTGGCAATACACACGTCTTCCCGTCCCCTCATTGATGCCTATGTTTGTGTATCAGTTCCACTATCCACTGGTAATTCAGACGTCTTCCCTTCACATCACTGATGCCTATGTTGGTGTATCAGTTCCACTATCCACTGGCAATACACACGTCTTCCCGTCCCCTCATTGATGCCTATGTTGGTGTATCAGTTCCACCATACACTGGCAAATACGCACGTCTTCCTTTCCCTCCACTGATGCCTATGTTGGCGTATATTTCAACTATACACTGGCAATACACACGTCTTCCCTTCACATCACTGATGCCTATGTTGGTGTATCAGTTGCACTATCCACTGGCAATACACACGTCTTCCCTTCCCTTCACTGATGCCTATGTTGGTGTAGCAGTTCCACTATACACTGTCAATACACACTTTCCCCCTTCCCTCCACTGATGCCTATGTTGAGTATCAGTTCTACTATACACTGGCAATACAATCGTCGTCACTTCATTGATGCCTATGTTGGTGTATCAGTTCAACTATACACCCTCAATACAAACGTCTTCCCTTCACTTCACTGATGCCTATGTTGGTGTGTCAGTTCCACTATACACCCTCAATACACACGTCTTCCCTTCACTTCACTGATGTCTATGTTGGTGTATCAGTTCAACTATACACCCTCAATACACACGTCTTCCCTTCACTTCACTGATGCCTATGTACGTGTATCAGTTCAACTATACACCCTCAATACACACGTCTTCCCTTCCCTTCACTGATGTCTATGTTGGTGTATCAGTTCCACTACACACTGGCAATGCACAATTCTTATTTACGCGTGATTGATCGCTATGTTGATCGCTATGTTGATCGCTATGTTGATCGCTATGTTGATCGCTATGTTTCTGCATCACTGTGCCCTATGTTGACATATGTTGCAGATTGTTGAGCTTCTCCTGGAACGCTGCAGCAGCATCGGCGTCCGCGAGGCTCTCCTTCTAGCTATCAATAGCGGCAACGTCCAGATGGCTGAGCTAATACAGAGCCACACAACTAAGGACAAGCGGACACTAAGTCATGGCGATGACGACTACTTCTTTAGTCAGAGCCATGAAGACTCTCAGTTCTCGGCCGACACCACGCCCCTTATTTTGGCAGCCAAACGAAACCATTTCCAGCTTGTGCAGATGCTGATACGACAAGGGGAGACAATCCCTACGCCTCACGCATACCTCTGTAACTGTCGGATTTGTATCAATAAGCGACAGTTTGATCAACTGAGGCTGGCCAAGACTCGTCTCAATGCATATAGAGGCCTCAGTAGTGAAGCCTTTATTTCCCTTTCCAGTAAGGACCCCATTCTGAGAGCATTCGAACTTGCTAAAGAGTTAAGGAATATTGCAGAGATAGAGAAATATTACAAGGTACGTGAGATGAATTTGGATAATTTACTTAAGCTACCCCACCGCCACTTCAGAGTAACGCTTATAAATAACAAAGATAGACGAGCACAAGGCCAGGTCACGTGTATTAACAGGAACACTTCAACGATATTTTTTAACGTCGATTAGTAGGCAGAAAAACCTTCATGCTTAAAATTTGTGCTCACGTTAGGACGTTTGAACTAAAACAAACCTGTGTAGTTATGTTTCAACCGTTCATTGAAGCAAATTCAATGTAGACGTAATATATTATTGCGTTTTCTCCCAAAACAACTAGATGCCATACTAACTACATGTCAAAATAACGACACGTTGTTAAAGCAACAAAGGCAAAGTCCCCACTGATATAGTGGAATAGTCCAGGAGTAGGGATTAGATGGAAAGGAACGAGCCGAGATGTTAAGCTTAGAAGGATGCCCTCATATTAATGTTGGTTTGTTCAAACAAAAATAGTAATATTGTAACAACAACTTGATGTGATATTGTATAGAATATCTTTGAAATAATACAAACGTAAAACTGGTGTCCAAAAGAAACTTTACTAAAATAGTTTTAAATCAATCAAGTTTAAATGTTAAGATGTGGTCGCTGTAGAAGACGACACGACTGTCCATGACATCCCAGAAGAGTTCTATGGGTGACATGATTAGATAGCGTGCAGGCCACGGCAACACGTTGACGTAGTTGGCTTCAAGGTGTATGAGGTCTGGCGTTGTCATGCTGATGAAGGACACCACGTGGCAGCTGTTGTAGAAATGGTAGGACAATCGGACGAAGAATGTCATCCATGTAAGCCTGAGTTGTCAAATGTCCGTTAACGATGACCAGTGGAGTTCACACCTGCCCCACAAATTCCTCCCCACACTGGTTTACCCCCTCCACCATACGATACGACCTCCAAAACGCAACATGTCGCAAATTCTCCCCTTCGGCGGTAAACAGCTCTGAACAGACAGGACGGGCTTTCATCAGTGAAGACGACCCCTCTGCCAGTCACATCGCTGCCAACGACGTACAGTCCTGGTCCATCTCAAACGCTGACGACCATGTTGCGCTGTCAATAACTGTCCCCTGTAAGGTCTGTAAGCCCTAATTCCTCGAGCCCTGGGTTGCCTGGCCACTGTCTGTCGACTAACCATATGCGCAAAGGCATTCCTCGCTGATTCGATCCCGGAGATGCAAAGTACATACTTACTGGTCTTCATTTGGCGTAGTTACCCTGGTTGTGTCTGTTCTTGGCATGTCTAATGTCTGCAGTCTGTATTATGTATATATCCTTATTGCACGTGTAGTTTCGGCTCCCCAAGCGGCAATTGTTTTTCACTTTTTCGCAATTGCTACAGACAAACGTGCCGTGGACGTATACCACTTTTTGCATAGCACATTGTTGTGTTTGGAGGATTGGTTTTGCATTGATTTACATATTTGAATTATGTACGGTATGCAGTCCGATATTTTCTTCATAATATTATCACTTTTTTAATAAAAATCATAATATTTTGTTCGCTTATGAAAATAAAGTACTCATGTTTCTTCTATATTTTTTTTTAAATAAGCAACTTTCGGTTTTAATAATTATGAACAAGAACAATATGGATCGTTACATCATCGATTGGATGAAACGGACATGATCATGGCAACAGCGGTAATGCATCGTGATTCCGTAATACTATTACAATCCTTTTGCTATATTTAACTTGATTTTATAGAATTATTTACATAGATAATTTATGTCAGTAAAATTTATGTCAAATTTATCGAGTTTGTAAATGATTTTAAATTTTGGTTTCACCATCATGCTTGGGTTTCAAATATACGCATTTAAACTAATTAAATTAAGGATATCTTCTGACTCATGAAGAAATCATTTTATTTTAATCGTTCGGTGTTTTTGTATTTGTATGTTGTAAGACTAGTCCACTTAAGGATAACGGGAATAGGCAGGTATTACCTGCCCACTGGACCATTAACTTTGTTGTTTTAGGCGGTTGTGATTTTGGCACGTAGCTATTTTGGGAGGAAACCGCTCACATCCTAGGTGAGTGAGTGAGTATGGTTTTACGCCGCTTTTAGCAATATTCCAGCAATATCACGGCGGGGGACACCAGACATGGGCTTCACACATTGTACTCATGTCGTCCTAGGTAACATTGGTAACACAGGTAACCTTGCAATCTTCAGCTGCCGTTTGTGAGAGACGAGAATACTTTTTCCACGATACAGTTTTAAAATGGCATTTTATTAAAGAGTTTATCACGCTTGTGTGTTTTGGGATGATAAAAAGCCTATATCCTGACTAAAAAGCCAAGGCTCGCGAAATGCAAAATCTTTTCTTCATACTGGGTATTTTCCATTCCAAACACACAAGCGTTAACGTTCTCAACTTATATATTTCGTGTTGATGACTGTAGTGAATACACTCTACTTCTAGACAGAGTATCTATCCCTGGCCGACAAGCTGAGCGAGTTCGTAGTCAAACTGTTGGATAAGGTCAGATGTCATGACGAACTAGAGGTCATCTTGAACAAGGTTGCAGGTGAAGATGAGGAAGAGGAAGAGACGTTCGCCCCTTTGGAGAGAATTCACCTGGCTATAGAATTCAACGAGAAAAAGGTGAATACCGGGCTATCTGTAGATAACCTCCTTGTTGAGACAGAACAAAGTCGTGCATACCGGTATATCTGTAGATAACCTCTTTGTTGAGACAGAACATGTTCGTACATGTACATACCGGTATATCTGTAGATAACCTCCTTGTTGAGACAGAACATGTTCGTACATGTACATACCGGTATATCTGTAGATAACCTCCTTGTTGAGACAGAACATGTTCGTACATGTACATACCGGTATATCTGTAGATAACCTCCTTGTTGAGACAGAACATGTTCGTACATGTACATACCGGTATATATGTAGATAACCTCCTTGTTGAGACGGAACATGTTCGTACATGTACATACCGGTATATATGTAGATAACCTCCTTGTTGAGACAGAACATAGTCGTGCATACCGGTATATCTGTAGATAACCTCCTTGTTAAGACGGAACATGTTCGTACATGTACATACCGGTATATATGTAGATAACCTCCTTGTTAAGACGGAACATGTCCGTACATGTAAATACCGGTATATATGTAGATAACCTCCTTGTTAAGACGGAACATGTCCGGACATGTACATACCGGTATATATGTAGATAACCTCTTTGTTAAGACGGAACATGTCCGTACATGTAAATACCGGTATATATGTAGATAACCTCCTTGTTAAGACGGAACATGTTCGTACATGTACATACCGGTATATATGTAGATAACCTCCTTGTTAAGACGGAACATGTTCGTACATGTACATACCGGTATATATGTAGATGACCTCCTTGTTGAGACAGAACATAGTCGTGCATACCGGTACATCTGTAGATAACCTCCTTGTTAAGACGGAACATGTCCGTACATGTAAATACCGGTATATCTGTAGATAACCTCCTTGTTAAGACGGAACATGTTCGTACATGTAAATACCGGTATATCTGTAGATAACCTCCTTGTTGAGACAGAACATAGTCGTACAGACCGATATATCTGTAGATGAGGGGGATATGACAAGGAATTAAACATTCATGAAGTTATACGACATTCACTTAGTTGACTCGCCTCCAAAATACGGTCGGTAGCGCCCTCTTAAGGATGACAATAACATGACGCGTTTGCCCATTGTTCCATTTGAACTACAGTAACTGTTCAGGGCGGCATTAAACGACAACTTTCTTGGTCACGGTAACACTTTACGGGAGGTAGGGAGCTATTGATTTGTTTGTTTGTTGTTCAACGCAGCACTCAGCAATATTCCAGCTATATGACGACAGTCTGTAAATAATCGACAATCCAGTGATTTGCATCATGAGCATCGATCTACCAAAATAGGGATACGATGACATGCATCAACCAACTTGAAGTCAACGAGACAGACCACCCGATCTCGTTAGTTACCTCTTACGACAAGCATAGTCGCCTTTTACGACAAGCATGGGTTGCTGAAGACCTATTCTACCCCGGATCTTCACGGGTAAGGGGGCTATTGAACGTGCTATTTTTTTAAAGGCACACGTTTTTCCTGCAGTTCGTTGCACATCCGAGCTGTCAGCAGACGCTAGTGAGTATCTGGTATAGCGATGTGAGACCGTTAGAGAGCACCAACTGGTTACTGAGGATCCTGCTGGGTTTGTCCATGACCATCTTGTACCCTGTGTTAGCCGTCATCCTCTGGACAGCTCCCTCTTCCAGGGTAAGTAACATATGATGTATTCAACCTCCGGGGAACCATATGTATTTTTCAAAAGTTTGGTTATACATGTATAAAACATTGAGATGAAGTAAACGGTATGAAAATTCAAACATTAATTGGCTTTTTGTTTACTTGATAAAAGCTAGATCTAAGTATTTAAGTAATACTTGGTACATGTAATACTATTTTTGTAGTAATGTTGCGTGTTAAGGATGTAATAAAACGATAATCTCACGATAGATCAAAATCGAAGGGGCTATAATATGCTTTTAGTTACCTGGACCCCGATTGACAAAGTGATCTTAGCACTAATATGATAGTAACTCCCATACTTTAACGTTGACTTTCGAAACTTGCAGAACAAAGATTGCCATGTGGGTCGGGAACCAGGATCATGTTCAACAAAGCGATCATAGCAGAGACCAGATGGTCTCTGATCATAGTTACTACGAGTATCGTAAATCTGTGTTACTGTATGGGAGCTAGCACTAAGGTCGCTTTGTGGAACGCGGGACTGGACAATCGAGGGTAATGTTGATTCCCCTCCCCAGGTTGCTAGAATCCTCCGCTCTCCGTGTGTGAAGTTCACTGGGAGGATGATCTCACAGGCTCTGTTTCTCATGTTCATTCTCGTCGCATCCCTCGAGCATCCAACTGATCGCTTGTTGACGTCATATGGCCCACTACTCAACATCAGTGCCCACTATCTCAGCCCGAACTGCACGGATGAGACGCTTTGTGACTTTGCCGTGCGGTCGTCCGAGTTTGAGATCATGAAGATTCTCATCGGACTGTGGTTGGCAGGTAATCGTTCCGATTGGTTGTAGCACCGTGGGGGTGCGGTCGGGGGTCGGGGTGTGTGTGTGGGGGTGGTGGGGGGGTGGGGGGGTGGGGGGGGGGGGGGTGGGTGGGGCGGCAATCGTAATCCTTACATAAATGAGTATTCACATTGTTTCCGTTTGGTTTTGTCTTAGAATCACAGTGCATAAGTAATGTACGTTAAAACACAGGGCAATCTGTAACAAACACAATTGTCTTCGCCCAGATAGTGAAATACCCAAGATGCTAAGCGCGCCAACGCCGGCCATGAACCCCTGCTGTGACAATTAGCTGATGATACTAGCCTAGAATCAGTTATCCTAGCACATGTTGTCGTTCAGAGTTTTGCGGCGTGGGTCGTTGTTCGTGTAATCATCCATGGTTTGTTTCAACCAGACTCGATTACTAACAGACTCGTTACAATACAGGAGTAATGCGGATTGCGACTGAAAACATGTTTCACCCACTGTTTAAACGTTATTGAGGGAAGTAATAGCCAATATTTAATGCAGGTGTAAATTCAAAACGGCAGCGTCATAACGGTAGTTGCATTTCTATGTAACCAGAGACCATATAATAGATCTATTATATGGTCTCTGATGTTACCTGCACAAGAAGGTTGAAGGATAAAGTTCAGAACTTATACTCACGAATCCCGGTAAAGTTGTTTTGAGGACACCAGGTGCTCGCGAAAACAGATGAGCATATCGTCTTCTACGGAAATATCATGTGGATCAATCGGCTATCGAAGACATTCAAAAGTGTATGGTGTTCCTGGGTGATTGGCTCTATGTAATACTTTATCTGAAGCGGTTTCAAATTTTAAATATCGTAACCTGAGTTACCGATAGCATGACTCAATGGAAAAAAGTAGGTAATTCTTCTTGATTTCCACATTTTCTACCTAGCGAAAGTTAAAATACATTCTGTCCATTTCTTGATAGCTCTGGACTTTTAGACTGATTGTGCCCTTATGTGTCCTAGGTTTGTTATGTCAAGAGATTCAGGAGTTCTACAAGAGCGGCATGTCCGGCTACTTCGACTCCATCTTCAACTACATGGACACCGCCGTCATTGTGCTGTATATCACCTGGGCCAGCCTGAAACTGGTGACAGTCCACAAGGTGAATCGCACAACTTCAAACAGTGGATTTCTGTGTTTATCATAAGCTGTAAGCAGAATCTGCTTAATTACTCACATATTCAAACAGTAGTGTAGGTGTAGATAAGTAATGGACGTCTACTTACACATTCATCCGATACACTCACACAGCTGAACCACTATCAAAGCGACATTAAACTCCTGAAGAAATGAGATGTTGAGACGAACAAGACTGTGAAGATAAATACATGTTTGGGTTTTTAGTATGGATAGAAAGTTTACAGATTTCCTCAACAGCTATATCATACATGCATTTCTGATGCGACTTACCCATTGCTACTGTACACGAATCAGACAGCCACGGGTCATGTCTCATGCACAACCAATCCCATATGCATATGTAGGCACGGTATAGTTACTCTCTTATAATTACCAGCAACTGTCTGAAATCCTAACTACATCTGCATGACTATCCCTCAACATAACATACCATACAGTGTCGCCACACCCTGTGCCCAGATGCAGAAGTGGGATATCATCTCTTTTTTTTTAACAAATCAAAGAGTAATCATGGCTAGAGATTTTCAGTTTGACCTCCCTGTTGTTAGATCAGGTTCTATAACCTTAGAGAATCATGAAAGAAGGACCCATTAATTTATTCCAATAATGTGCTTACCATTTTAATGTACTTTGGGAACAAACTGATATATTTCTCGCACTTTTCTCTCTGAAACTCACACACTTTGTGTTCTACTCGGCACCAGTTATTCACTATACATATACAAATTGGCTCAACGTTGTTAATATTCTATATTATACATAAATACCGGTATAATAAATGCTCTGTAAACTTGCATCTCACACACTCAAACCGTAAAATATCCATTCATTCACTTATTTAGCATTTAAATTTCATGATACTTCAATTTTCAAAACAAATTATACATGCATCTATTGTACTGTAACTTCGACATGCTTCTGTTTAGGCACTTCCTTAAGCAACTGTCAGGAAATGGTTTAACATGTAAATATGTGTCGGTCCTTTGATGTTTATGTATTGAATTCTGTAAAGGCCATACATGAAAACAGTGATGAACAATGGTGTTATTACGGCTTCCTTGTGTCTCAAGAATCACCTTGTTGGAAGAAGACAAGAAGTCAGCCACTACGGATACACAAGACCGGTTTTTCTCTTGCATTGACGTTATATATTGTACAACTGTGTAGGGTACTATTAGAAGTTCAGAAATGCATTGCGCCAGAGCAGCGCAACCATGTCAGATTGACCTAACCAGTCATATGTTTTGATAGTTTGACTTACATCTGACATGTTTATAGTTGGTTTCATACTAGGAACCCGTCTTTCGGTTTATAAAACAATAGACATGGGATGAGTGTTCTACTCGAAATGTATGAATTGTGCGCAGGTGAAGATTTCTCTGGAATATTTCACACACGAAACATCCTGGCACGCCCTCTCCGAACGACAGACGGAGGCACAGCTGCATCTCTATTGGTTGATAGCAGGTAGGTTGGGTGATCTCTACTGGTTGATAGCAGGTAGGTTGGGTGATCTCTACTGGTTGATAGCAGGTAGGTTGGGAGATCTCTACTGGTTGATAGCAGGTAGGTTGGGAGATCTCTATTGGTTGATAGCGGGTAGGTTGTGAGATCTCTATTGGTTCATAGCAGGTAGGTTTGGAGATCTCTACTGGTTGATCGCAGGTAGGTTGGGAGATCTCTATTGGTTGATAACGGGTAGGTTGGGAGATCTCTACTGGCTGATAGCAGGTAGGTTGGAAATCTCTCCTTGTTGATAGCGGGTAGGTTAGGATATCTCTACTGGTTGATGGTGGGCAGGTTGGAAATCTCTCCTTGTTGATAGTGGGTAGGTTGGGAGATCTCTACTGGTTGAAAGCGGGTAGGTTGGAAGATATCTACTGGTTGATAGCGGGTAGGTTGGAAGATCTTTACTGGTTTATAGAGGTTGGAAATCTCCATACAGATAGGAGGTGTGACCTATACAAATAGAGGGTGTGATCTACACACAGAGAGGATGCGATCAGTACAAATAGGGAGTGTGAAAGGAGATCTCTGTTTACTGACAACAGGTGTGTCGGGGGATTGCGACTGGTTGATTATGTCCCGTTACCTTCTGGTTGTTGTCCCAGTGAAAATAAGGAGGTGACGAACCTTCCATAGCAGGTCGGGTGAAATTTTGTTTCAGCCTGTCAGCGTCGACACTCTTACGTTCAAGATCATCAGACTATCCAATTTAACTTATATTTTTCACCTTGTCCCTGTACTCTTGCACTGCCGACAGTGAAACCTTCTGATATGAGTTTATAAAAATGATTATTTAAAACAGAATTAGGTGCTAAAATGAATAAATAAATCAGTGTGTGAAAATATGATCTGCAGTCCATGTACTACAATGTACAGCGTGAGCTTGACGAATGCAACCGTATACCTTGATGTGCTGAAAGGTGATATACACATTTTCCACAACAGATCGATACTACTGGGACAGATACGACCCAGAGAATGTGATGGAGGCCGTGTTTGCTGTAGCCAATATAATCAGCTTCACTCGAATCAGTTACATCTTCCCAGCTGATGAACTTCTGGGTCCTCTTCAGATCTCTCTTGCCCGGATGGCCACGGTTTGTATTGCAATGATCAGTATATTGTAAATATTAAATCCTTTTCTTCAACTGGAATCCGATCATATTGATGTAGATGTATATTGGTACATGATGTACACTGTGAAATGCTCTCAAACCGGACTTGGGCTTTTTGAAGGGGAAGTTGTCAAGATGGAATGGATACACCGTAATGCTCCTTCAGTATACAATATACATGTGTATAGTATCGTCCAAAACGGGTTTCCCGGATAAATGGAGCTCGGATTAACGGGGTTTTAACATCTGTTGTGGAAACTCAGATTCCTTTCCTTCAAAGAGACCAGAACCTGATCCCTAAGCCGTTTCTTGAAATACTTACCTTTCTTACCTTTAACGTTACGTGTGTCAGGAATTCTAACGACAACTTTTTGAGCGTTTTGGTGCTGGTTTGTCTATTTCTAATCACTTGATCTTACTGTTTTCTTGTCCAATGTTTGGTAATCTGTCATGTTGGAAAATAGGAGTATGTAAAATATGTGAAAAAACTTGATCTGTCGCTGAAGTTTTTCCAATTTTTCGTCAGGATATTTTGAAGTTCGTGGTTATATTTATGGTGTTGTTCATGGCCTTCTACGTGGGCCTCCACAACCTGTACTGGTACTACCCACCTGTAACACGCAAAGCCTGGGAGCTCCGCCCACACAACATCACAACGAAGGCCGAGAAACACTTTGGCCTGTACGTATACGCGACGCAAGTAGAGCATTCTTAGAAAAGCTTGGTTGAACAGCAGGACACCGGTTTGAATTTGTCAGAGTAATTTGATATAGTTTGTTATATTTACTACAGCCTGATAGCGCATCCTGGACAGCTACTTTTCAACCATACAGAATCATTCATCTATTAGTGAAATTTTACTGAAATTTCCAATCATGAATCCTTTTTACTCCATAATGTATTTAGTGTGTGATACATTTTGTTTAGTATCAAAATATAAAATTATATTGAATAATTGAATTTATTGAACGAATTTATGTAATGTGTTTCATTTTCAGGCATAATCAAACCTTTATGACGGTGTTTTGGGCAACTTTCGGACAAACGGACAATACGGCAGTTGAACTTGGTGAATTCCAAAATATTTTCACTCAGAACATAGGATACTGGATATTCGGGGCCTACAACATCGCCATCGTCATCGTCCTGCTCAACATGTTGATTGCCATGATGACGCGATCCTTCGACATCATTCAGGTAATTTTCGTCTGTTTGTTGTTTAACGCCGTACTCAGCATTATTCCAGCTTTATGGTGGCGGTCCGTAAATAACCGAGTCTGGAACAGACAATCCAGTGCTTGACACAATGAACTTTGATCTACATAATAGATCCCGTTATTTTCACCTCTTACTACAAGCATGGGTTGCTGAAGACAAATCCTAACCCGGATCTTCACGGGTCATTCAAGGTAAGTACTGCGTCCGACCACATGCGTGCTATTCAGATTACTGAAACGACCATTCCACGTAAGAAAGATAAATGCGACGGTACTAATCACAGCATTACACTTGTGTTTTGTTTAAAGCATAAAAGACTCCCGTGTATTCATGATCAGCCCCAACAACCTGGCAACATTCACAAAGTAGTAATAAGTCAAATATGAGGTACTCGTCTTCCCTTTATTCATGCTCAGAAACTTTACAAATTCAGTTATTTCTGTGTTCCTTGAATCCCCCTTGGTCTAGAGCATCCGTCCGTAGAGAGGAATATCCTGGGTTCCATCCCGGCCGAGTCATACCAAAAGACGTTAAAGATGGTACTTGTTGTTACCCTGCCCTAAAGGGCTAAAACATGGACTTGGTCGGCTAGGTGTCAGTATACTGTGTCTGAGTAGGGTATTCATATTAAACTGCGGCATGGTATCTCAGTGGGTCTTGCACTGTAAAATACGGACTAGTACAAGTAGCCCCCACCCCCCATCCCCACCCACCCGTATCCCCCATGCACGTCGCTATATAAGTGCAATAATCTTTACCTGCGACGTTAAACCACATTTCACCTCCCCCTCCCTCCCCTGTGTTCCTTGTTGTCTGCCTGGTGCGACCCTAAGGTTGCGATAAGTGCACCACGAGCTTCACATAGTCCATTATATGTGTGTCAAATGACATTGTTGCTGAAAGTTCCTCGTCAATAATTTGCTTATGCAAGAATTAGTCATGGCAACCAAAAGTTTGCACGTTTTCCGTCATTCGTAATTCATCCTTCGAATGAGGAAAGAGGAAAACAACGTAGTTTATTTAATGTTTATTATCAATCAAACTTCTGGTTGCCGGCTATCCAGAACATTCATGGATAGCTTCATGTTAGTCCTGTTCCTATGTTAATTGTAGTTTCATTAATAATCTCACAAAAACCTTCAGGTATTTTGAACACACAGCTGGTCCCAGATAAAACCGATAACCAGTTGTTACCACTATGTTTAATATTAAAAACCTTTATATTTTAACAATATAGAAGGCCCATAGCAGCATATAATAACATCTTTGACATCTGGAATCTGACATCAATATTTGACAGCTCTTTTGTCTTCATCAACATACAATGGATGCACATCAAAGTATGATGGAACCATACGTTCTGCTCACTTCTATTCAAACCTTGCTGTATGTCCTACTATTTCAGCCTCATTTTATATATTTTACTGGCGCGTCCTACACTATGGTGCGAGACAATCCACGTGTTGTTAGCCTATCTCAGGGGACTAAAGCGGCAATGCATAATGTACAGGCAGAAGAACTAAACCGAGCGAAACCGACTCATTCAAAATATTCAAAGCAACTAAAATGCTGGAATGATATGTTTCATGTAATTTAAGAATTGTAGTTTGCTTTCAAGCGACACACTTTTACTATAAAGCATACAGTTTGACGCCGCAGTTAGCAGTATGTGACCCACATCCAGGTGCCGGTCCAGAAATTAGAAAAAAAGTGTGTGTGTGTGTGTGTGTGTGTGTGTGTGTGTGTGTGTGTGTGTGTGTGTGTGTGTTTGCGTCCGTCTGTGTGGAAAAATACCACTATGTCTGTTGGTTAAATTTGATACTCCAGATAGCGAAAAGGAATAGAAGCAACACGTCACTAAGATGACGCCACGCAAGATATGCCAGGAACCAGGTTCTATCAATAGATATTCATGACGTCACCATAAATAAAGATTCGTCATGTGTTTTTGTAGAGAACGAAGTTAGGGAAGTCAGTACATAAAGAACTGGTGATCCACGCATGGTGGTTGCACGCGTTAATAAATAAGGGTGGGTGTCTTATAATTATGATTTATATTAATCCTCTTAAAACAATGACTGTGTAGGCGAAACATTTATCTATAAATAGTGTTAAAAATGTTGAAGGCCACATACAAAAATGAAAAAGAATCAACATTTAACTCTTTAAACAGAGTTAATGCATATTGAAAGCAACAGCGTTGTAAGATCTTTGCTTGTGTAGAAAAATAATATAATGAACACTACAGTATTTCCCCCCAAAATGTATTTTTTGATTTTTTTAATTCACTATATATTAATTCAGTAATGGTTACAAGAATATTGGCTGGTTTCTGTTCGCACAGTCGGAAGCTGACACGGAGTGGAAGTTCGCCCGCAGCAAATTGTACATGGAATACATAAAAGGAGACTGCGTTCTGCCCGTCCCCTTCAACCTTTTCCCCTCACTCAGGGCCCTGCTCGGTCACTTCCGCCGCATTCAGGACTGTTTCACTACCAAGGACGATCCTGCCCCCATGTACCAGGGGAGAGTCAGGGACGCTGAGATGTTTCAAACTCATACAACCACACCGGTAGGACTGCCAACACTTATGGCTATACATATCATCATACTGCTGTTTTCGTTGGACATTAGTCGTTTGTTATCAATTTATCATAATTCATCATCATTCTCACAAATCTATTATGTCTATTATCACATCATCGTGGTCGTGCTTATGATTATTAAGATGATTATTATTAGTGTTTCTCATCTTCATGCTCAGCTTCAGCAGGGCGGTCGGTCGAAATAATATAATAAAAATATAATTAAAAAACACTGCCTTTGGTTGAGAATACAACTGATCTATAAGCTGTCTGCTTTTTAAGATGAATGTGAAAAATGGTTGCAGCATCAACTTTGAGAGCTTAAAGACTGAAAAGGTGGAGGGTTTAAAGAATGAAACTAATGCATTACTATTCACTACTTCAACAATCACTACTATAAACACAAGGCGTCGTTTTGGATGAAAGGGAATATAGACTGGCAATGCAAGAGAAATAACCAGTTTTCTATTACCCGCCGAAACAGTTTCCACTTGCGTAAAGAGTAAAATAGCTTTATAAGTTATATGAATGAACTACTGAAAATCAGTGATGACACCAAGTGTTGGCGAAAAGTGTAAGCAATTTGCATAAAAGAGAAAGTATTCATTGCCTGACTCCGCACAGCAGTACTCCCGCCAAGTGACGGAGACCTAAAAACAAACCAGACAATCAAGTGATCGATGAACCAGAAAATCCAGTGACTCTATGGCGTCAACGATACGTTTTCTATTACCTTTAACGTGATTGAACTCTAGGATGAGAAGCACGCTACGGACAGCCCCATTAAGATCCTGGTTCAACAACACTTGCTTGCCGTTAGAGGCGACACGCTGACTTGGTTGATCCATGTGACCGTATCCCAATTGCATGGATCGATGCTCATGACATCAGCCACTGGACAGTCTGGTCCAAACTCGATTATTTACAGACCGCCGTCATATAGCTGAAATATTGCTGAGTGCGGCGTTAAGCATCAATCAAACAAACAAACAAACAACACTACAGACGAACTTATCAGTGTGGGTTCGTGACAGGGCCGTCGACCCACTATGAAGACTGGTACTAAAGACGTAAAGGACCCCGGTCAAGGCATCGAGACGTTCCGCATAGGGCTGTCCAACACTCTCGTCCGCAATTACACAGTAGACAGTTTCGCGAGCGGCAAACTAACCTACAAGGTAGGGACACCGTGAGTTGTGGGAAGGCAAGCAGAATCGGTTAAAGTACATGTCGGTAGATTAAAGTACTTTGGGGACAGGTTGATTGACGTTTGCTGAATGGTTATCACCTTGCAAATGCTAATTACAGTATTTGAATGATTATTGTAACTAATGATACCCTTTTTAAGTTAGTCGCTAGGACATCAGTCGGTTTTTCGTTGGAGATCGGATGCAGACTGGATCCCATCCGATCGCGATCGATTGATCGATGAAACGCCAGTTTTCTTGAGTGTAGTGCAGGTTGTCCGATGTACCTCCTTAAGTGATTCTCTTGTGTACGTATTGGATAGGTACATGTATTATGACAGTAGCAACGCGTTTGTTACAGCAGTGTTTAACTGATATGAATGTATCAGTTTGTCATGCGATTGTTTGTGGTTAGTGGCTGTACCTGTTTTTTTTCAGCGTGTGATACACAGGGTGATTCATCGCTACCTATTCGACATGCAGCGAGGGGATGGTAAGTGTGAGAGGGATGCAAGTGACTGCATCCTGGTCAGTGATAATTCATCTTAGTGAGTGGGTACGTCTTAATGAGAACATCCTTGTGAATGATTGCATCAAAGTGACTGCATCGTTATTCATGACTGCAGCATACGGACGGTTTGTTGTGAATGACTGTATCCATCTGGCAGTTTCCTTGTGCATGACTGCATCCAAGTGAATGTACCTTTGTGAATTACTGCATCCCACTGACCGCATGTTTGTGCGTGATTGCAATCTGGTGATGTTTGTGAATGGCTGCATCCCACTGACCGCATGTTTGTGCGTGATTGCAATCTGGTGATGTTTGTGAATGGCTGCATCCCACTGACCGCATGTTTGTGCGTGATTGGAATCTGGTGATGTTTGTGAATGGCTGCATCCCACTGACCGCATGTTTGTGCGTGATTGCAATCTGGTGATGTTTGTGAATGGCTGCATCCCACTGACCGCATGTTTGTGCGTGATTGCAATCTGGTGATGTTTGTGAATGGCTGCCTCCTACTGACAGTTTCCTTGTGAATGACTGGATCCTTGTGACTGCAATATTGGTAATGACTGTCTCCATCTTACAGCCCCCGCTTGCATTACTACATCAAAGTGAATGTGTCTGTGTGTTTATTTGTTGTTTAACGCACCATTCACCAATACTCCAGATATATGACGGCGGTTAAACTTCTTTGTGAATGACTGCCTCCTACTGACTGCATCTTTGTGCATGGCGGCATCCTACTGATGGCATAGCCGTGAATGACTGCATCCAAGGGACAACATCCTAGTGACCTCAACTTTGTGAATGACTTCACAGTGACTACATCTCAGTGACCTCATCCTTGTGAATAACTGCTTCCTAGTGACTACAGCCTAGTGATCTCATTCTTGTAAATGACAACATCCTAGTGACCTCATTCGTGTGAATAATTGCCTCCTACTGACCTCACTCTTGTGAGTGACTGAATCCTAGTGACCACATTCTTGTGAATGACTGCATCCTAGTGACCTCATTCTTGTGAATGACTGCATCCTAGTGACCTAATATCTGTAAATGACTGAATCCTAGTGACCTCATTCTTGTCAATGACCGTTTCCTAGTGACCTCATTCTTGTCAATGACTGCATCCTAGTGATTTCATTCTTGTCAATGACTGCATGCTAGTGACCTCGTTCGTGTGAATGACTGATTCCTAGTGACCTCATTCTTGTCAATGACTTAATCCTAGTGACCTCATTCTTGTCAATGACTGCATCCTAGTGACCCAGTCTTTACAAACGACTGCATCCTAGTGACCTCATTCTTGTCAATAACCGCTTCCTAGTGACCTCATTCTTGTCTATTGCCGCTTAATAGTGACCTAATTCTTGTCAATGACTGCATCCTAGTGACCTCATTCTTGTCAATGACTGCATGCTAGTGACCTCGTTCTTGTGAATGACTGATTCCTAGTGATCTCACTCTTTTGAATGACTGCATCCTGTTGACCCCACCCTTGTCAATGACCGAATGCATTAACACTCAACAAATACTCATTTAAGGTGATGAAGACGACACTAAGCAAGACATATCTACCTTCCGTCACGAAATTCTCACAACACTTCACGAGACTAGAAAGGAGGCAAGTGAAATGTATGAGAATATGAACGAAAGGTTGGGGCGACTTGTCAGTGACTTTGTGGCTCTTAGTAAGGACAAACCACCAGTGAATCACCAGTGAATCTGTATCTACTTGCCACGCTGATCTTCAGCTTCAAACAAATATGTTATCGTGCCGACTTATTAGGTATTGTCTAAACTGTTTTTATACCAGTATTATCTGATTGCTTAAATTTTGATTTAACAACATGGTTTAATCATACATGTATATTCAAAAGGCTTTACAATGTTATCATATTGTTATCAAATAGTTTGTCCTGTGACCATACGTTATAATGGTGTTATCAAATATTATTTGATTCTGTTTAATAATAGTTTCACGAATTTATCATATGGTTTGGTAAATATAATATCATATTGTCAGCAAAGCATTTTACGTTGCTATAATAGTATGTTTTGATACTGTTAAAAAATATTTATACTATTCTTTCATAATTTTACCTTGTATTTCTGTGATTTAACAATATAATAACAAGTTTTTCCAGAGTTTGTATGACGTTCTTATCTGAATGTTAGATGATGTCCCGGAGCATGGTGACATGGTAAGATGGTGAAATAAAGTGTACATCTGATTAGAGATAACTGTTTCCCATGACGACAAGCGATGTCATTTAAAGGAGTGTCGATATCATACACTTACAGGCAAGATTATTGCACGTTCAAAATAAAATGTTCTAAATGCAAACACTTTGAATAGTTATTTGTTATTTTGGGCAAATGCACATCATTGTGCTAAACAGTGTGCGGTGCAACAGTTTACAAGTGTAGAACATTACTGAAAAACACTGACCTACATCCATGATATGCCCCACTTTTGCCTTCCTCCCAACTTTAATATCACATTCCGTGTAACTTTACTGCATTGCTGTAAAACCCAACTCTCTTGATGGATAGATGGAATCCCAACTGCTGACAATATTAACAGTGGTGTATAATATACGATACCATTCCTAAAATTTACCGGTGAGGATAGCTGTACGGAAGTGACGCAATGGCATGGAATTCTCGACGGATTTAAGCATATTCCATAACAGTTGAAAATCTTTATTCAGGATACCGTTGGCTCAAATAAAGATCGCTATACTTTCCGGCCCATGCATACATACATGTTTGTGACGAATGTCGCCTGTGTAACCTGTATTATGACATGCAGATTAATATTATACGTATTGATCCCCAGATGTCAAGTTATTTTCTGTGTACATCAGAAATACATGGCGTATACGTACTAAGTTCTACTAAGTGATTAAGATCCTTAATAAAATTTTCTGTTAAGAGGCAGCGTGATAATAATCATTAGCACAGGATGGTTTGCGAGATACTTGAAGATAGTAACGCACTAAGCTACGGTACACCAAAAAACTAATTCAATCCGACAAGCCTCGCGACGCATCGCCTTGCCACGCCATACTATGCCACGCCATGGAACGGGAAGCCATGCAACTCCACGGCTAATCACATTGCGTTCTCTACTCGCTTAACTTTCCCGTACGTCATCTTATCAGTTAACATTTCCTTTCGTACCCAACACAGCTCATATCATTACACAAACTAAAAATTTTACCACCACAGCAGATACCAGTTCTACCATCACAGCAACTATTATATCTACCACCACATCAACTATTATTTCTATCTTTACACCAACTAGCATGTCTACCATCACACCGACTAGCATGTCTACCATCACACCAACTAGCATGTCTACCATCACGCCGCCTAGCATGAATACCATCCCACCGACAAGCATGTCTACCATCACACCGATTAGCATGTCTACCATCACACCGACTAGCATGTATACCATCACACCGACCAGCATGTCTACCATCACACCAACTAGCACGTCTACCATCACACCTACTGGCATGTCTACCATCACACCTACTAGCATGTCTACCATCACACCTACTAGCATTTCTACCATCACACCAACTAGCATGTCTACCATCACACCGACAAGCATGTCTACCATCACACCGATTAGCATGTCTACCATCACACCGACTAGCATGTATACCATCACACCGACCAGCATGTCTACCATCACACCAACTAGCATGTCTACCATCACACCTACTAGCATTTCTACCATCACACCAACTAGCATGTCTACCATCACACCTACTGGCATTCCCACATCACAGCATCTAACGTTGTCATATCACAACAACTAACATTTCACATCACAACAACTAACATTGTCACATCACACCCACTAACTTGTCAAATCACACCCACTAACATTCCCACATCACACCCACTGACAATGTCACATCACACCCACTAACATTGTCACATCACGCCCACTAACATTGTCACATCACACCCACTGACATTGACACATCACACCCACTGACATTGTCACATCACGCCCACTAACATTGTCTCATCACACCAACTAACATTGTCACATCACACCCACTAACATTGTCACATCACACCCACTAACAATGTCACATCACGCCCACTAACATTGTCACATCACACCCACTAACATTGTCACATCACACCCACTAACATTGTCACATCACACCCACTAACATTGTCACATCACGCCCACTGACATTGCACATCACACCCACTAACATTCCCACATCACATCCACTGACATTGTCACATCACACACACTAACATTGTCACATCACACTCACTAACATTGACACATCACAATAACTAACATTGTCACATAACACCCACTAACATTGTCAAATAACACCCACTAACGTTCCCACATCACACCCACTAAAAGTGTCACATCACGCCCACTGACATTGTCACATCACACCCACTAACATTGACACATCACACCCACTGACATTGACACATCACACCCACTAACATTCCCACATCACACCCACTAACATTGTCACATCACACCCACTAACATTGTCACATCACACCCACTAACATTGTCACATCACACCCACTAACATTGTCACATCACACCCACTGACATTGTCACATCACACCCACTAACATTACCACATCACACCCACTAACATTGTCACATCACGCCCACTGACATTGTCACTTCACACCCACTAATATTACCACATCACACCCACTAACATTGTCACATCACACACACTAACATTGTCACATCACACACACCAACATTGTCACATCACACCCACTAACATTGTCACATCACACCCACTAACATTGTCACATCACACCCACTAACATTGTCACATCACACCCACTAACATTGTCACATCACACCCACTGACATTGTCACATCACACCCACTAACATTACCACATCACACCCACTAACATTGTCACATCACGCCCACTGACATTGTCACTTCACACCCACTAATATTACCACATCACACCCACTAACATTACCACATCACACACACTAACATTGTCACATCACACACACCAACATTGTCACATCACACCCACTAACATTGTCACATCACACCCACTAACATTGTCACATCACACCCACTAACATTGTCACATCACACCCACTAACATTGTCACATCACACCCAGTGACATTGTCACATCACACCCACTAACATTACCACATCACACCCACTAACATTGTCACATCACACACACTAACATTGTCACATCACACACACCAACATTGTCACATCACACCCACTAACATTGTCACATCACACCCACTAACATTGTCACATCACACCCACTGACATTGTCACATCACACCCACTAATATTACCACATCACACCCACTAACATTGTCACATCACACACACTAACATTGTCACATCACACACACCAACATTGTCACATCACACCCACTAACATTGTCACATCACACCCACTAACATTGTCACATCACACCCACTAACATTGTCACATCACACCCACTGACATTGTCACATCACACCCACTAACATTACCACATCACACCCACTAACATTGTCACATCACGCCCACTGACATTGTCACTTCACACCCACTAATATTACCACATCACACCCACTAACATTGTCACATCACACACACTAACATTGTCACATCACACACACCAACATTGTCACATCACACCCACTAACATTTCCACATCACACCCACTGACATTGTCACATCACACCCACTGACATTGTCACATCACACCCACTAACATTGTCACATCACACACACTAACATTGTCACATCACACACACTAACATTCCACCATCACACCCACTAACATTGTCACACCACACCCACTAATATTACCGTATCACAACCACTAACATTGTCACATCACACCCAATAACATTGTCACATCACACCCACTAACATTCCCACATCACATCCACTAACATTGTCACATCACACCCACTAACAATGTCCTTTCTCTTTTTCCAGCGATAAAACATACCAAAGGGACACCAACACCATAACATGCAAAAGTCCACATTACTGAGATTCCCTGACTTTGGAATTGTGCCCCGCCAGCTGATACCAGTTCAGTGAACCTAATTGTTCACAAGTAAGCCCATGAACAAACTACCTAAGCTGGTGAGCTGACGTCTCCCCTGTTTTACCGTGTCCCGCTGATCGGTGTAATCGATTTCACATGATGCGTCTGACATTTCCCCGATAGATGCAGATAACGTTATCGTGACTGGATGGCATGTACTAGGCAAATGATGTACATTTCAGATATCGATCTGTGTTTGTAACAACCAGCCCAGGACAACCAACAATCACAACAGCCACACCCATTCCGGCCTTGACGGATGATTTATGTTATCTATGTGGATCAAATATTTTATACTTTAAGATTTAATATTATTTGTTTTCATGAAACAGAGCAAGTTAAAGCTACATTAATTTCTTCATACAATGATTAATATTAAACTTATAGTGGTGTCCAGGGAGTGAAGGCTTGTAACGTCAGGTCACATCATAGTCAGCTGCCTCCATAGTATTGTGGATACTGCGTCTGCATGGGGAGTGGAAGGTCGGGGGTTAGACCCCTTTGCCGCGTCATATTAAGCGACGTTAAAAGATGGTACTAATTGTTACCCTTCCTGGGGCTTGGCGTTAAGACAATACAATGTCTGAATGGGGTATCCATGTTAAACTGTGGCCTGGTATCTCAATATGCAAGCACACTGAGACCAGCCTGAGCCTGGACTAGTACAAGCAGCCACACACACATATGTACGTAAATAATGATGAGACACATATGTACGTAAATGATGATTACACACATACGTACGTAAGTGATCATGACACAAAAGCGTACGTAAGTGTTGATGACACACATACTTACGTAAATGATGATGACACACATGCTACGTAATTAATGATGACACACATGTACGTAAGTGATGGTGGCACATATGCGTATTTAAATGATGATACCACACATGCGTACCTAAGTGACGGTGGCACACATGTACGTTCGTGATGGTGGCACGTATGCGTATTTAAATGATGTTACCACACATGCGTACGTAAGTGATGATGACACAAAAGCGTACGTAAGTGTTGATGACACACATACGTACGGAAATGATGATGAAACACATGTACGTAATTGATGATAACACACATGTACGTCCGTGAGAGTGGCACATATGCGTATTTAAATGATGATACCACACATGCGTACGTAACTGATGATGACACACATACGTACGTAAATGATGATGACACACATACATACGTAAATGATGATGACACACATGTACGGAAGTGAT